GTGGTCCTTCCTTAGTCTGAAATATGGGCTGCCAGTGCTGTAGCCCCTCTTTAGAAGCACTGACATCTTTGAGTTCCTACAAAAAGCTCACTTACGCAAAGAGAATTTTAAGAAAAATGGTGTAAGATGTACTATGCAATTATACTTCTCTGCAGTCTTCGTCTTCATATTAACTCCATCGCTGTGAACCACAATACACCTGTGTATTTCCTAGATAAAGAAACTCATCACAGCAGTTTTCCAGCAGGTGGTCTCCAGCCCTTACAGACCATATTATTTAGATGCAGTTGTATAAAGGTTGAGTGTTTTATAACTTAATATCATGATTCTCTTAGAAAATCATAAAATCTGTTCAACTGGACCCACATTTCTGCAGAAGGAGGAAAAAATCCAGAACTGAGCAGGGCTGCCACCTTATGATAACATATAGGAACTTTGCCACTGTCCCCTGACATCCTAAGGTTTTTCACTATCCAGAATCTTTCTTTTACATTATCTCCTCGCTTCCCTTGTTATAGTGTTTTCAATTCCTCTGCTAGACCCTGCTCATTTAAAGATTAATCAGTCTTCACGTGGACTTCCTAGTCTCATGACAAAGATGAGAAGTCCCAAGAAAACACAATTAATGTAAAGAGACTTCATAAAGGCTCTTTTAAAGAGCTATGTACAATGTATGTGAGATGTACATAAAAGGACTTCATAGGTATACCTAATACCAGTTCTCTGTGTGTGTAGAGGATGGGGTATCGATCAAAGATGCAGAGGAACAGAAAGAGAATTATTCATTCAAGGAACAATAATAACAAGACTTTTAGCTGGCAGATGCTTTATTTGGTGGGAATAAGTGAAAACATGAAAAGTATTTTGAAACTCAGGTATTTAATGCTAAGAAGCTTAGATTTCACCCAACAATCCTTCTCAATGGATGCCTTAAAACAAGATTATATGTAATGAATTAGCTTCTCTCCTGGGCATCTAGGATGATGATAATTAGGTATTCTCTTTCAGAGAATTGAAAACATACTCGCTTGAATCAATTTCTGATGGAAAGTATGACACCTTAAAGCGGGATTTATTAGTACGAGGGACCACTATGGAACCTGGACTCCATCATGATATCAGTGGTCTTTGAAAGCTGGAGTAGAATGGGATAACAGCCTGAACATGAAGGAGCAGGAGTCATTCTAAAGGAGGAAATAATTCAGACACATTTCATAAGTGAACCAAGTGAAACTGATTCACAGATTTGATGTCAGTTGAGGAGGAAAAATATTGGGAGATAATTCTGATGTCTGATGTTTGAGAAGCTGAATGAATAATGATGGCCTTGGCCAATTTAAGAATATTGAAGGAGAAGCACATGACGTGTGGAAAGCTAATGACTTTTACTTGAGTCATGCTGGATTTTAGGTATGCAGAAGAAAAGGCTGGGGAGTTTTCAGCATACAGATGGTAGTTAAAGCCAGGACAAGATTATTCCAAAGGGGAGCAGAAGAAAGACAAGTAGGCTTTCAATCTCATGGAGATGATAGGGCAGTCTGTCTTCTTCCAGGACTCTTGGTGGGGGAAAAAATACGCCTGTATGAAACTGATTTCCAATCCAGTCCCTTCTGTGACTCTGATGTCTGAATGCACACCACTGTTTTGGTTCAGGAATCTCAAAACACAGAAACTGACCTTGAGTGGTGATACAGATGGCAGAATTGAATGCAGAAGCACA